ATATCCAGCTTACCCGGCAAGCCACCTGTGCCGAGCCCTGCACCAAACTCTTACCATCAAAGGCTTAACCATCGGACTGACTAGCCAATTTTGCTCTTTTCATAAGAGTAGTAAAGCCATCACACTGCTGGATTCCAAGCAGTGCGAATGTCGAAGTTTGTCAGTGCATTCTATAACGATCTATTTTATTCTATAACGTTTTTACTACTGTAGCAGGGGAACTCCGCTTTTTTCAAATAGCAACTACTTCTTCAGATTTAGTACTGATTTCTTTGTAAGCGCTCTATTCTAGCTTATGTGATTTTTATAGGCTCATTCTGGAGATGCACCAATTCCTGTGCCTTATGTCACCCAGCTACAACCGCTAAAAGCTGGACAAACGCTAGACATTCATGGAAGGATAAATAGTGATGCTACTAGGTAGGATAACAGAAGTTCTAATTCAATAAAATCTAATTCAATTCAATTCAAAATTTTGGGCGAAGAGGCCAAGAGGGCTGGGGCTCGCATATATTTCTGTCGTTCCGCATAGGCAATGCGCTACAAGATGCGCTCACTGCTGCATCGCGCTTTCGATGACTTTCATTCGCGTACAGATAATGAGGACTGCAGGAACGCAGACATATGCTAGCCGCTATAGTGGCGTTTGTGCATTCTGAATTACTGGAGTCCAACCAATTCCTTGGTACTCTAGTTCTGTTGAACGCTATGAAAAATTTCCTGTTTACTTGTGTTTTGTCCCTCTCCTTCCTATTCTCTCTTGCCAAAGATTTGCAAAAGTTGGAAGGAGTTTTTGGCTCCTCATTCTGTTGCCTCACAGGAGTTTGTGTTCTCTAAAAAGAAAAAGAGAATATAGTAAAATGTTTTTAGTGTTGAGATCAATCTTCTCCAAGGTGCACAGCAGATTGGTCTTGGACAGTGTGTTCTACACATCAACCTTCGCTTTGTCGAAAAGAAGATTGTTATGAACACCTTTATAGTACGCAAAATTTCATATTTTTAACAAAACCTTGTTTTTAACATGAATCTTCAATTTAGAATAAAGAATGGGGAAGAGAAGAACGCGAATCGATGCCATATAAGCCAGGCGAGGAGTACGATCTCAAAATTAGGTGAGTTTTTTTTTT